TGTCCGGGTGTCCCTCTCCGGACACCTCAAAAATGGTAGCACCGGTGGCCGCCTGCCTGGTGTCTATGCCACCAATGCCCAACGCCCCCAGGTCCACCCTGGCGCGGACCTCAGCCACCACCCTTTTTTTTGACCCGGTGGAAATCCTCATGGACCATCACCCCGCCTCTCTGGGAAGAGACGGGGCGGTGTGTGGGACTCGCCCCCCTGTGCCCCAGGACAGTTGTCTAAACCTGGGGCCAGCGTGCAATGGGGGCGCCTACCTCACTAAAACCACCGGGGGTGGACTTCTTGGCGCTATATAGGGGTTCGCCTGGGACACGCTGTAGCAATCTCCAGACGACCCCGCGCCGCGCGTAGCATCGCGCACCTCTCGGCCCTTGAGAGCACGTCAGCCACCACCCTGGCATATTGCCCTTGCAGGCATGTCAGGGCGACGGCCGACGTGCGCGGCACCCTCCTTTTTGGGGCCTTTTTCCCAACCCCTCCCCCCTGTTGGCCCTTTCCAACGGGCTTCTGGGGGGGAGTCTGGCGGGCCCCCGTGGCGGCCTTGGCTACTTTAGCCGCCGCCTGTTTCTCCCTGCGACCCAGTACCTTCGTCCACGGCACGTCAGTCGCCGTGGAGGGTCCGGGTGCAGGGGTAGCAGCAGGTGTCGTCCGTGCTGCCATCTCCCTTGCCCCCTTTTGCGCGGGGTGGCTTTGTCCTTCCCCCCTTGTGCGGGGGCCTTACCCTTCCCCTTTTGTGGGGGGGCAGGCCCCTGTGCGCCTTTGGGGGCGGAGGAGGGAACGGGATTTCGGGGGCCTTGAGTGCCCCCTTTATCCCCCTTTTTCTTCTTTCCCTTCTTTCTCTTTCCCTCCCCCTCTTCTTGTACCCTCGGATCGGCGCCGGGAACCGAGCTCTCCCCTTCGGCCGTCCTTTCCCCCCTCGCGGGGTGTGGGGTAGCCGCGGGAGCGCTATTTCGGGCCCCAGCGCCGATTGCGTCGGCTATCATTCTTTTCATATCAAGGAGCTGCCGACCCATGCTTTCCTGGCATGCGTCGACAGCCTCCTTGATTCTCTTCGCCACCATCGCCTCAAACTCCTTAGAGTTCACCGGCGTGGGGTTCCTCGCGGCCGGCCGGGTACGGTCCAGCGATGCCGGAGGGGTGTGCTCATCCTCCGACGAGGAGGAGGAGGGGGGAGGGGGATCGACATTCCCCCCTCCGTAGGGGATTTCTCCCCCTCCCCGTCCCAATGGTCCCCTCCACCCCTCGGCGGGGGAGTGAGCCTGCCGCCCCGGCGGCATTGGTGGTGTCGGCCACCACCACCAGCTTTCCCCTTTCGGCCTCCGTGAGGTCCAGCCGTCCCCCCCTGGCAGCCAGGGCAGGGGACATTGCGTGGACCTCGGTGTCCTCCAGCGATAGGCGTACCGCCTCCAAGGGCGTCACATCCATCGCTTCTCCCTCTCTTTCCCCAGCAGGGGGCAGAAGGGGGGAATCCCGGTCTCTTGGGGATGGGAGGGAGGGGGACCTATTTCCCCCTCTTTCCCTCTCCTTTCGGAGGAGCTCCAGCTCCCTACGTAGGAGCCTGTTTTCCCCCTCCAGTCTCTCCCCCTGGGCCGTGTTAGCCCTCGTGTGCAGGGCGTCAGCCGCCGTCTGCACAAAGAGGGCCCCGTCCCTTAACTCCTTAATACACCCGCCCTTCAGGTTCTTCGCGTTGGTGGCCAGGTGGTCGATCTTTTTGGCCACTTTAATCATCTCGGCCACCAAGTCACTGGAGGGGAGATTGGGGATCGTCTCCCGGAGTTCCTCCTCCTGCCTCTTCCTGGTGGAGTACTCCCTGGGGTTGTAATTTCCCTCCAGGAATGCCCTATACTCTCGGACCTGCCGCTCAAGGTCTCTGAGCTCCCGGCGCGCTTTCTGTCTAGCCGCGATCTCCACCCCTTCACCGGTAACTACCGGTCTTCCCGGTCCTCTAGTGGTGGGCCGATTTTTAACTGCGACCACCTTCTGTCGCTTCGAGTTCCGGCTAGACCTCTTTCTTCTCTTGATCGCCCCGGACTCGGACTTGTGCGACCTTCCGCTCGCGTCCGAGTCCCAGGCCGACGAGGACCCCTCCGCCCAGTCCGCAATCACACCTTGCACCATTCCCCCTGCCGGAGGGGGCGAGAGCGCGCTGCTGCGGAGATTGACGTAGCAGTCCCGAACGTTAAATTCATTCTCGTCGGCGTTGGTCTCGGCCCTACCCTGGCTCCCCGCTCTTTTAGAGCTTAGGGGGCCGGGCCTGCGCCTTGTTCCCGACGTCGACGATCCACCTTCTCCTTCTTCGTGAGGGCAAAACATTTTTGGTTGATCCCACTTTCCCGTGGCGGCTCCCCGATCAGGGCATGCCCTCCTCCCCCAACACTGGGGGAGGCCCCGAGTTCACCCGGGGGACCGGCTATGGCACGGGCCGGGGGGAATTCCGCACCACGGCACAGGCCTCCAGCCCCTATTCACCCCCCCGCTCACCGCGGGAGGGGTTTTCAGGGGTCTCCGTCCTCCGACAAACGGAGCACCGCCGCGGGCGCCGCCACGCGGGGGGCCCCGCGGACGGACGAAGGCGTCGGAAGCAACCCTCCTCCCTTCGCCCCGTCCGCCGCGGCGACCGGCATGCTTGCGTCCTTAGCCGCCTCGGCAACCTTCGCCCGGTGCGCGCGGGCGATTCGCGCGGGCTGAAGCGGAGGTCCTTTGGCTGGGCACAACAGGGGACGTTACCCCCCTGAAGGACCCATCGTCCGAGGGGGCCGGACCCCGCCCGGGAAACGTCCCGGCGGCCCCGTCCTCCCCCGCCACCGACCCGCCGGACCCTGACCTGGGAAACGTCCCAGCGGCTCCGGCGGGCCCTAGACCCCCGGGCCCCGCCTCGGAATACGTCCGAGCGGCCCCGGGGGACCTGTCACTTCCTCTCTCCCCCGCGTCCTAACAAGGACGGGTGCCCCGGTACCAGGCGCTCGCCCTGCGCGCAGCACCGCGGAACACCTCCCCGCCCACCCGGCGACCCGAGTCACACTCGGTTTAGCCGCTGGGGTCGGGTCCTCCCACCCCGCCGAAATGGGACCACGTCCCGCCCAGCGAGGCGGAAGCTCCATCAATGCCGGTGCGCTCCCCGCCCGGCTCCGCGCCAGACCGCTCGTCCTGAAAACGACGGCCCCAGACGCGGGGTGACGGCCGGTTCGCACCCCGACGGCGGATGTCGGCCGACGGACTATCGGCGCGACCCTCCAGACCCTCCGAGGCCCTGCCTGGGAGACGTCCCAGCGGCCCCCGGAGAGGTCTTCCAGGTAGCAGGCCCCGCCTCGGAGACGTCCGAGCGGCCCCACTACCCGTCTATCGTACCGCCCCCCGGTGACCCGCGCCATGCACGGTTACGCCACCGGGGTCGGGCCTCCGCTGCCAGGCCAATCGGACCACGTCCGGCCCCCGACAGTGGAGCTTCGTTCCCTCGCCCCCCCCCCCGCCGGAACATCGGCGTTAGGGGGAGCTCAGAGACCTCCCCATTCCCCAACCAGGCCCTCCCGCCCGCCGGAGCACCGACGTGCAATGGCGTTCAGGCCCAGCCAGGGAGATGGGGCAGAGGCGGGATGGCGAGGCGTGCCACCACGCTCTCCGTCCGGGTTCCCCCCATCGCCCCGCCGGAACACCGGCATAATGGAGCGGCAGGAGGGTGGCTACCCGGTCCGGCGGGGGGAGCAAGCTCCCCCCTAACGGCCCCGGCGGCCGGAGGTTTGAAGTCGGGGTGCCTCATCCCCTACCAGCGATCGGCGGGCTCGTCCGCCACACGTGTGGTGAACGAGTCCCCCTTAACGGAGTCGCTGGGCTCCGTCCGCCCTCAAAAGGGCAGAGGTGGCGTTCCAGCAGCGAGCACCCCAGGCCGGGAGACCGCCGACGCTAAAACGCGCCGACAGCCGCCCACCCAGAGCGCACGCCCCCGGAACCCCACCCGAGCTGCCGCACCCTGACTCGGAAGACGTCCGAGCGGTCCCGACAGCCCCCCGCCTACGGCCCTGGACCCCGACCTGGGGAACGTCCCAGCGGCTCCAAGGGCCCCAGGCTGATGAGCCCTGCCTCGGAATATGTCCGAGCGGCCCCATCAGCCCGTCTGCTCGGGTGGGGCGGCTCCACGACTCCCCCAACATGGGGAAGGCCGCGGAATG